CCCCCCCCCCCCCCCCCCCCCCGTCTTCATTCCCTTACCCGGCCATCAGTCCTCTGCAGGGGGCAAGCCGGCCTCCCCGCTCCTCAACACCACCCTGCTCATTTCTGGAAGCTTCTGTTCAATCTGATATCCAGGTCTGGAATGACCACCTAATCCTACTCCTTCCTTAGAATAACAGACTCCTATCCAGCTTCCAACACCTCCTCCGAGAAGTCTTCTCCCGCCACTCTACGCCTTCCTGACCCGACTCCAGCGCCAGACGGAAATCAGAGAGGCCGGCCCAACCCCCTCCTGTGACAGATGAGGAAACTGAGCCCCAGGGAGGGCAGCGCCACACCCAAGATTACACAGCAGCGGAACCGGGTCTAGAACCCAAGACCGGCCGTCCTGATCGCTCCAAGATGTCCTCCCCCCGTCGGTCCCCGGCAACCTCCTCCCAGCTCGCCGGCGGCCTCCGGCCGTGGGGACGCTGCAGGCACGCCGGCGGGCAGGGAGCCGCGCTCCTGCTCAGCCTCGCGCCCCCAGGCCCAGCCGGGCGCCCAGCGCAGTCAGGATGCGACCGCCCGCGCCGGGCTGGTGACCTTGGGCCGGCCCTCGGCGCTCCGCTTCCTCCGGACAATGCGGCCGGCAGCTCCCCGCGCCGGCGGGCGCGGGCGAGGCCGTGAGTGCCCGGCACAGGCCGGTGCTCGGTGCGGCCGCCCCTCGAGCCCCGCCGCGGCCGGCGCCCCGGCCCGGCCCTGCCCACTCACACCCCGGCTCCGCGCCCCGGTCCGCGCCCGGCAGAGCCCGCCCGGCTCCCGGCGACCAGCGGTGAGGGGTGTGCGGCCTGAGGCTCCCCGGCGCCGTCCGCCCGCTGCGCCGACGCCCCGGGAGCCGAGCCGCCCCTCACCTGGGCACCCTGAGACCGGCGAGGCAGGCCAGGCGCCCACACCGTGCCCGGCCGGCCCGCGGCGGCGAGACGCGGCCCCTCACGGCCGCACCGGCTGGGGGCGGCGGGACCGGAAGTGGCGGGGCGGGGACTCGGCTGCTCTCGCTTGCGGCGGCCGCGAGGGCAAAGGCGCTTTAAAAAAAAAAAACTCAAAGCCCCGAAGAACCTTATTTGGAGCCCGACACACGAATAGCGTTGAACGGCTGGCTGCTCGGGCTTCGCTCATTGGCAGAAGGCGAGGCCAGGGGCGGGCACGGTTCTCGCGGCCGTCGCTGACTGGCGAGTGGAGGCCGGGGGCGGGGTCGGGGCGGGGTCGCCCCGTCTGGCTCAGAGTCTGCGCACAGCAGCGCTCTGGGCTCTGCGCCGCGTCGGGCCTCCATTCATTCTGCGGTGCGCAGGACCTGGGCTGCGGCCCTCGCTGCTTTGCGCAGTCTGGCCTGGAGGAGCGGCCAGGCCCCGGCTGACCGCCTTGATGACGGGCCGCCCCGCCTGCAGTACGGGGGCGGGGCGGGCAGGGCCGCCAGACGTGCGCGCAGCCTCGAGCCCAGGTGTGCAGGAAGGGAGCTTAATGGCCACATTTGCAAAATATTTACTTTAAAAAGCTGTTTAAAATTGTTCTGTTTCTAGCCTGAGTACAAATTCTCATGGCTGTTTGTGTTCCCGTGCGATTGTTAATAGACGCCCTGGGCAGGGGTCAGGCAAGGCTCCGGGAGGGGTGGGCCATCTGAAAGACGAGGTTCGCGTGGAGCGGCTGAGGAGCCAAGGAGTTAGGATTTCATTTCCAGAGCACCATTAAAGGTTTTAAACAATATAGTGTCTAAGGTTTCTTTCTAAAAGAGGCTTCTGCTACAGGGCATACATCTGCAAAGAAGTAAAAAGCTAACCTTTTCAAGGATTATTTCTTCTCTCTCATTTACCAACTTTACATTTCCCTGTATGGCCCCGGAAGATGACTGGTTAGCCAGAGACGGTAAGATTCCTCAAGGGAGGAACAACCTAAGACAGGCACAGTCGCAGGGGGGCCATCAGGAGAGAAATTGGGGATCAACAGAGGTGAGGCTTAGAACCTCACCCCCCCTGTTTTGAGAGAAATCTTCTGCATCCGTGGATGTTTTGTTGCCCTTGTCTAGCTTGGATTAATACTTAGTCTATAGGCACAGACCTGATCATCTACATTTGCCCTCTTAACAGCACTAAATTATGTTTTCTACCTTTATCTTGCATCTACCTACCACTTCAGCATTTTATTTAAAAACTAAATTAATAATAATAATAATAAGGTAGAAATGTGGGATTCACATATAAATCAATTATAAAATCAAACAAATAATCATATCTGACCTGATTGTTTATAGTTCATGATGCGTGATCAAAACCGAAAGTTTCTGTGATGACTGCCCTTGCACTGCTCACCATGTAAGAACTTGTTCGTTGTGCTTCAGAAGATTGGAGACTGTTGAGAATTAGGCTTGGGGTTGATTAATGATTGTGCATTGAGTCCCTTATACAGAATTTTATTGTTGTTAACAACCATTTGATCAACAAATATGAGAGATGGCCTCTCAAAAAAAAAAAAAAGAAGAAGAAGGGATCCAAAAGAAACAAAAAAAATAAAATAAAAGAGGCTTCTGGCTCCAAATGAGCTGGTGGTAGGGGAGCCAGGAGGAGACGGGACTCAGGAACACCAATGAATAAAAACGGAAGGTATTCTATCTGATTGGGAGCAGTTTTCTCCTTCCTCACCTGGCCAAAGTCCTAAGCTTTCCTAAGCTTAGAAACCACTTGCTCAGAGAGGCCCGGAAGTCGGGTGCAGGTGGCTCCTCTGTTCTCCCCCTTTCAGGTGCTCAAGACTTACTGTCATTGCCTGTTTCCCTCAGCCCAGCTCGTCAGGCCCGCTGGTGTTCGGCTCCCCCAGCCTGACACGGCAGGTGGTCAGAACTCATCTGCTGGATAAGCATTGCATGACCTTGTCGCAGCAGTCCTGGCGAGAGGAGATAAGACCTCAAGGCAAAGCCGTCGGTGAAGGCACAGCTGGAATTTCTTACTAAGGGGCCACTCTCTACAGGACCAGCTGCAGCTCACAGGGGCCCACACGTCACCCCTGTGGGTAAATGAAGCAATTTCTACCTCCATTTCTTGAGTTGACTTGTGCCTTCACCTGAGGCTTATTTAGGGCTTACTAGGTTTTTAACTCATGTAATCATCACAACATCACAAAACTGGCATTTTACCACAGTAGGCCCCCCTTTATCTGCAGTTTGCTATCCCCAGTTTCAGTTACTCTCTGTCATCTGTGATAAGAAGGAGATGATCCTCCTGACATACAGTCAGAAGGTCAGCAGTAGCCCAATGCTACATCCTAATTCCTGTGTCATTTACCTCATTTTATCTCATCACATAGGTGTTCTATCATTTCATGTTAACAGAAAGATCAGTGAGTACCCTACAATAAGATAGTTTGAGAGACCACATTCACATAACTTTTATTAAACTATATTGTTAAAATTGTTCTATTCTATTATTGTTAATTTGTTACTGTGTCTAATTTATAGTTAAACTTTATCCTAGCTATGAAAAACATAGTATCTGTAGGATTCAGTACTATCTTTAGTTTCAGTATCCACTGGGGGGCTTGGAATGTATCCCTTGCAGATAAGGGGGGATTACTGTATCCTCACTTTACAGATAAGGAAACTGATGCACGGAATTTAAGTAGTCTTCTGGACATGGCAGAGTTGGGATTCGCCCTCAACCAATGCACCATGCCCCTTAGGCAGTTGGTGGTGCCAGCAGCCAGGAAAGGGGTTCATCCGCATGCTTGCTGGAGAAGTAATTTGTCATCGTTCAGGCTTTATTTGTCATCAAACAGATACAGAAGACTGGAGTGCTCACAGAACCTCAGGAGCCCCACTCATGGAACCTAGGGCCTTCACCTCAGTGGCTCCATCCGAGTCTGGGCCTCTGACGCTGGCCTTGTCCTCCCTGATTCCTCCGTGGAGTCGAGGCCTGGCCTCAGACACACCTTTACGATTCAGGCCACAGAGCGGACTGCCCCTTCCCTCCTGACTTCACATTCTCTAGGAGGATTGACCAGGCTCAGATCATGCGCCCACCTGTGTGTGTGTGTCGGTGGGGTGCAGGGTGGTGTCGGAGGCGGGGGGTGTGGGTGTTCAACTGTGAGCCTCATGGGGGTGCTGATGCCAGAGGAAGAGCAGGGAGAGACGATTCACCAGGGGTCCTTCCCACCTCCTATACCACGACCCCAGGAAGTTCAGCCCAGGGCTTCCAGCTGGGCAGGTGTCCCCTATCTTGTTTTCAGCCATGCCTGCATCTAGACACAATTGCTCTGTCTGTCCCACAGACAGTCCGGGCCTGGTTCCAGGCTTGCTGACCTGGGTGACAGACTGCCAAGCCAGGGCTCTGGGCACTCCAGCCTGGGGCATTCTGCCAGTTAATTAACACTGCCTGGTGCAAGGGCCTAGGTACCTGCTGGGTTAGGGTATGGCCTCCTAGGCAGAAAACGTGCCCTGTGCCAGTAAAGCCCTGGGAGCATGCCTTCCTCAGCCACCCCACATCTCTCCCTGTTGCACTCACCAGTCCCAAGAACCCCCTCGAGCAGACATTGCTGCTCCGTGGTTTGGTGGAGGACTTCCGGGAGAGGTAAGCCTGCGGCCTGGAGGAGCTGGCACAGAGCCAGGCCCACTAGGTCAAGTGCTCCTGCACGTGCCTTGAACACACTCTGTCCTGTGGACTCCAGGCCCTCCCAGGGTGAGACCTTAGTGGTTCCAGCCCCAGCCCCATGCACAGTTTGGGAAACAGCCCTGGCAACACTACATGTGGAGTAAATCTGGGAGGAAGGGTCTGACTCACCCCCTGCTGGTACCTGTGCCAACTTGTTCTGTGTTGTTCCAGAGTGTGTATCTTGCCCTCCAGCCAGGCCCAGTTCTCCTGGTGAGCAAGGCCTAGGGCACTGGAGAGCAGGCCTGGACATACACAGCTCTGTGTCCATACAGGGTCCTCTGAAATCTATTTAAATAAATCAACTATCTAATGAGCATCTACCAAGTGCAGAGTGCCAGGAGGGGACAGAACATATAAAGTGCAGACCCTGCCCTCCAAAAGCATGAGCTCCTCAGGGAACTAGTACTAGGTAACTCACTATAGGATGGGGGGCACAACTGTGACCCCTGAGTTCACTCCACGCAGGGGAGAGCAGTCTCCATGGTCCCACTTGAGTTTAGAGACGATTGGGGGAAGGGGGACGAGGGAACGCGTTGCCGACCGCAGAACTCGCCTTAGAATCCGACTGGGGAGACTGAGAACAGGATGCAACACACAGGGTCCTGCAGGTGCTTCTGCTGCTAAAAGTGAAGGTGGGCACATTGTTTGCAAGAAAAGCTTTATTGGGCCTTTCAGGGTGAAAGGCACCTTTTAGGGTGCCCTGGGTCTAATCTGGGGAAAGGAGGATGAGACACACATGAGACCAGAGGAGGAGAGGCTGGAAGTGGTTATCGGGAATGGGAGACGGTCTGAACCGAGACCCAGTGGCCCCCTGGGTGACCCAGCTCTGGGAGTGTCTGTGGTGGGAGAGAGAGATGGGGGCAGACTCCTGGCAGTGGGCCACGGAGGGGCTCAAATTGTGTTGGGGACAATGGTGATATAAGAGACTATCCAGGCAGCCTTTAGCTTCTAAGTGGTATGACTTTAATTACACATCTGGTATGATTGACTTTGCTCTTGTGACTGGCCCCCACGGGAAACACCATGCTTCCTTTTATTCATTAGAAAAGTAATAGACCGGCTGTGACAACCATGCTGGAAAGAGACTGAGTCAGAGCCGCATTTTAAATATTATAGGAGACAATCTTCATCATCCTCCCTAAAGCAGCACCGGGCACGTTTCAACCGGGGCTGCGCAGCGCCACCAGGTTGGAGACCCTGTGCCCGCAGCTTGTGAAGCACGCCCTCTGTGCCACCGCCCCTTCCTGCAGCCTGCACTCCCGTGACTCTCCCTCCTTCCCGGCTGCCGTCAGACCAGAGCTGGCAAAGCTCTGAGCAGCGCTGCCTCCCTCCAGACCCATTTATCTTTGCTTTCTTGCAGAAATGTATTGAAA